AGTAGTCCGAATGGAGCCGGATCGTCAATCCGCGGGCGACCCGAACCCTCCGAAGCGCAAACCACACCGCCGCGAACTCCCGCACCGTGCTGTGGGCCCGACGGAAGGACGGACCCCACCACCCCTGGCCGGCCTGGTGAGCACTGGTCACAAAGCCCCTGCCGAGGGATGACACGTCCATGAACACATCGAGCGAGGGCTCGGGTAGGCGCCAAGGCACTGAACCCCGAAAAACCCGAAGAGAAAGTCGGCAATGCAGCAGCCAACACAAGGCCCCCCGGGAGACGAACCCAGTGATCGCGAGAGAGGCGGAAGGGACGTCCCCGAAGGAACTAGAACAGCCGATGAAGCCAAACCCGACCCGGCGGGTAGACCAACATCGCAAAGTTCAGGCTCCCGCACAGACCCTCGAGCAACCGCCAGGTGACCCGGGAGCCCCCCAGAAACAAGCACATGTGGGACCGCAGCCGAAGGAGAGACTCCGGAGGAAGAGACAAGGAAGCGGTCCGAGAGTCCCACACAAGACCCAGCCAGGTCCGAACCTGGGAGGGAACCAGATGGGACTTCCTCCAGTTCACCAGAAACCCGAACCCAAACCCGGCTAGCTGGGAAAGCACCAAACCCCTCACAAGCAGACACGCGGACCAACTGGGAGCCCAAACCAGCCAGTTGTCGAGGTAAGCCAACGCCCAAACACCTAACAGACGCAGACGGGTCACCACGACCCGGGTAAGGCGTGTGAACACGCAAGATTTCCAGGTCTAACCCAAACGGGAGAAAACAAAAGTGGTAACTCTGATGCCCTACAACAAAATCGAGCCAGTTCCTGAACCCCAGATGAATCTGGACGTGTCAATATGCATCCGTGAAGTCCAGGGACACCATCCAAGCGCTTGGCTCCAACAGAAGCCGGACCTGGGACAGAGTGGTCATCCGGAAGAAGGGGCAAAAAACCAATGGGTTCAGACGGGACAAGTCCAGAATGAACCGCAGGTCCGCACAGTCCCGTTTCGGAACTGGGAACAGGCGGGGAAACCCACCTGAGAGACATTGTCGTTTCGACTATGCCCAAGCGCACCCACTCCAAGATGACCTGACAGAGTGCAGGAGAGGAAGCCTGCCCTGCCAGCCCCGAACCCCCCAAAGGTGTAGGAGCCACCCAACGCCACCTCAGGCTGAGAGAAATGACCCGAAAAGCCCATAAATCGTGAGACCAGGCATGAGCGAACAGAGCAAGCCTCCCCCACACTGCCCCGTCAATGGGGGCAAACTGCGAAAGGGCCACTGCCCCTTACGAGAACCCGACCTGCGCACAGAGCGAACACCGCGCCGACCAGGCGCAGCCGGGACCGCAGGCGGCACCGGCTCCGAACCTGGCACCTGTGGCCTACCCCGACGAACGGAACCGCGAGCCCTGGCACGACCCCTCCGGGAAGGAACCCACCCGGACCCCGGAGAACCAACAAGTCAGACATAGGGCGGCAAGTGGAAGAAGCCGCCTGAATATACTGCTCAACCGCAGAGGCCTCAAAAAGCAAAGGACAAAAGGGCGAAGACAACCTAAGAACCAGGGCCCAAGCGGATTCCAAGGAGGAAGCGAGCACCACCTGTCGACACGCGAAACGCGCAGCGAAAAACCGCAGCAGCGCCTCCCGCAGGATCGGCGCAAACAGCTTCAAAAGCGCAGACGATGCACGGGCAGCCGAGACCAAGGCGCCAGACCCAGGAACGGCCCCAAGCGTCTCGACATCCTCCACAAGCCAATCCGAAGACAGCTCCAGGAGCAAAAAGATGCAGGACTGAAGCCAGCTGCCATGAGCGTGCAATTCCTCAGCCACAAGTGCAGCCAACAAAGAAGGAACCTGCACATGAAGCTGAAGCGTGCCAACATCCCGCAGAAGGGCAGAAGCTAAAAGACACTCGTTAAGGTGTTCAAAGTCGCCCCACCAGGTAAACCTGGACCACAGTCGACGCCTCGCACCACTCAAGCGTGCAGGTACGACAGAAAGCGCCCCAAGCTTCAAACGACGACAATGGGGCAGTCCACCAGCCAGGACGACCCTGGACCCTCATAACAAACCCAGTATGGAGATATACAAACCGGAAGGAAGACGAATCCATTCTAAAGGCATACTCTGGGTCGTGCAGGAGGTAAGCCGCAATGGCCACCCACACCTCAGCAGGCGAGACGCGGGAAGCCGAAAACCTCTGGGAGGATGTGACCGAAGGACCCGCAGGGACATGGAACCGAACCCGGGGAGAAGCCGAACCCAAATTCAACTCATACGCAGAGGAGGGAAAGGAAAACTCCACTCCTTGTAACAGTAAGCCCCGTTTTCAGAGGTCGGAAAACCCAGGCAGGGTCCAATGGGGCCGAAGGCCCCCAAGTCAGCTCCTCCCCAACCCTGGGAACGTCCACATCAGGCCCCGAGGGTGAGTCGTCCTCCAAAGCCCCGGCCTCACAGGAAAAAGCTGGGACAGCTGAAATAGCAGGAAGAGAGTGGGCCCACTGTTCAGACCCCCAACACTACGACTGGAGGAAGAGACTCGAATGCCTCCATCGCCTCCCCAGAAGAGGCAATCCCCCCCGAAACTGCCCGAGTCTCAAAAACCTCTAAACCCTGCCCCAACCCCGAAGCCCTCACACACTCAGGAATCAGAAGCAGGGGGTGGCGGAACTGAATGAACCACAGCAGGGGAAGAACGAGGGGGTGCAGACTGAACCAAGCCCAACGCGACCAACACCCCAAGTCAGGGTCCCTATAAGCAAAACGGGGCAACCTCAGGTCATCCAAGAAAGCAACCAACCTAGCGCGTTGCAACAACCTAAACCTATCCTGCAATGTGGAAGCTGCCTGCACCCGAATAATGTCATCAGTAGATTGGTTGAATTGAGTCACAAACAAGCAACAAAGATCACAGGACTCGGGGTCGAATGTGTCCCCAACCCAACTGGCAGCATGACGGAGGCAAAAAGAATGAGCGTCGCCATGAGACAAAGGGAACAGAGCAACCCTCAAACTCGCACAAGGTGAGAGGGGACTCAGGGGTCACATCTATTGGACCTGAGTGCCCCTGCGGGGTTTTCCAGGGCCCCCTAGACTTTGTCTGCTAAGGGTAATCTCAGGCAAGGTACTGCCCCAAGCTACCAACACTGCTAATGCTGAACCCCCGTGACGTGTCCACTCACGAGGGCAAAGCAGGGGGTACCACCAAATAAAAGCAACCCTAATATAATGTGGGAGGAATACCAAGGCAGACCCACCCACCAGGCAAAAAGAAAAAGAAAAGAAAAACCTCGCAAGAGGACAACGTACCCAGAGGGAACAGAGCTGGCCGCTGTTATAGGTGAAAACTTGCTACACAGTACCCGGCGCCCCACCAGTGAAATAACTACCACTTACCCCAAGGCAAACAAGGGAGGAAACCCCCCACACACTCGGGGCGGCCAAACGCCAAGCAGCAAAAGGCCAACAGAGGTAGACCCAAGGTTACTTGTGGAAGAGAACCTCAAGCCCCAAGGGCAGTACTTACAGGGCACTCAGGGAATGACCCTAAGCACATGCAGCCCGAGTACCTGAGAATATTACTCCCAGCTCGCACGACCACCGTAAGAGCAGCACTGAAAACAATGACAGCACAAGAAGACTGGAGCTGGAGCCACACGACCATGCACGATCCCATCAGCCGAGGAACTGGGGTGGGGATCACTGGCACGAGGGGTCTGGGGCTCCCCCTTCCCCCTCCCAGGGTGGGGAGAGCTGTGCAGACATGCAGCGTGGCTCGTGTGACGTCATGCTTGTTTGCTCGTTTTTCTTTTGGGGAGTTCTGTCCACTCGTTTGATGATTTTCGTTGTTAACCAGAATAGGGGTTTGTTTTGTGGCGCTTACCTTTCTGGGTGCCTGTCCCGGTCGATGGCAGATATAGAATGCTCCAAATCACATGTGCATTTCTATGGGCCATTGCTCCTCGTGCCTCTGTGAGGGGGCCAGGTTCTGGCTCGTGGTCCCCGGTAGGCCTAGAACTCCACCCACATCGACTGATGCAAAATAGTTAGGGTATCCATATCAGCCATGGATAGCTCCGGGGAGCCGTAGGGGCTCCCCCCACAAAAACAACACTCCCTACCCAGAGCCAAACAAGGGCCATTAAACTCCAGCTGGCACCAAGTGTTGGGGTCAATGCCGAGCAGCGGTAACCTCAACAGGAGTGAGATCCCAAAGGCCCTGGAAGATAACTCTAGAACTTATTAGTACTTATAGGGTAGGGTAGTACTTATAGGGTGCTTAGGGAAGGTAGCCCTAAGCGCACGCAGCCTCAGTACAGTAAGTTCTCCCTGGCCACTGCTCCACAATCAGTAGGCAACACACCTGGCAGGAAACTGAGGCCAGTCAACAACCGCCCTAGCAGGCTTCAGTCTATGAGCTGGAGAGTGGGCAGCCAGCACAGGGGGGTCAGGAATAGCTGTGCAGCAAGCCGATTTTTTTTTTTTCAGGGATATTCCTTTGCAGGTCCTAAGCCTTTGGCTGACTCACCAAGTGTTATTTGTTTCTGTTTTACTTAGATGGTGTATGAGTATTTATGACTCGTATGGTTGCTTCAGTAAGATTGTCCCATGTGTTCAACAAAAGTTGTGTAAGTTAAAATCTTATTGCGTATGTAACTGTGCACTATGTTAGATAATGTTCCAATGGTCAGTCTGCATTTCTCCACAGTGCTGACATGGCAGGCTGATCATGTTTGTGTGTTTTTTTGTTTCTTTTGGGGGAAATTCTGGCTCCCTGTTCGGTCTTAGGTTGCAACTTTCTACCAAGCGGGGTGTGTTTTGGGATGCCTATCTTTCTGGGTGTCTAGCCACGGTTGATGGCAGACATGGAATACTCCCAAACACAGGGGGATTTCCTTAGACCATTGCTTCCTGCGCCTCTGAGGGGGGCCAGGTTCTGGTTCGTGGTCCCTGGTAAGCAGAACTCTTTTTGACTGAAGTCCCAGACTAATATAGGTAATATTAGTCCGATAGCTCCAGGGAGCAGAAGGCGCTCCCCACAAAAAAGTGCTTAAACTTGCTACTTTCCACAACAGTTAGTTTATAATATATTTTAGCATCAATATTTACAAATAAAATACAAGTTATCACTGGAATTAATACTTTCACAATTGCCCTGCCTACCTTGCTCTCTGGGCTGTCATCTTCTTCCACTTCCTTCATACGAGCTTCATTCAGGTTGTTTATTTCAGCTGTTAGTGAACGAATCTGTAAGGTAGGATGAAATAATACATAAATTCTTGGAGGCAAATTTACTATACCTAGCATACTACATAGTAACACATCATTCACCTAACCACGCCCCTGGTAAGGGCATGGTTAGGTGAATGATGTGTTGTTTGCTCAGTCAGGTAAGTCAGTGCTGGGTCTGGCCATTAACAGGATTGATGACTGAGAGACAACTTTGCCCATGACAAGACAGACATCAACAACCCTAAAAGGGTGATATCCCGACAATATTATACTAGTTAAACTGTTGTTAGTCCCAGAATAGAGAGCTATGGTATCTTATCTCTTCATTTTAGTCAATACATTATTTACTGTATATAAATATTCATTATTTATATTCATTATAAGGTCCTGCCTAATACAATAATTATAACAGTAATATACTAATAATGTCTTTCTTTCACAGGACTGAGTGTACCAAAAAAAAGTATCCAGCTCAGATATGTTGCTGTGAACTAAAACACGGAAGAGCCACAAATAAAGTGGCAACCTTAAAACAAAGAACCCATTGCTAAAACACTAATTAAATCGAAAACAGAAAAATTAACTCTGGGTTGCTAGTTGGTTAGTCACAAAACCCCCACAAGAGTAATCTACACACAGAGAGACAAAGTATTCCCAATAATAAATGGCTATGGCTAGTAATAAAAATGGCACAGCTAGTACAAAACATAAGCCCAGTGTAGAGTGAAACCAAAGTTTCCAAGGGTGAAAGCAAATCATTTAACTGAATCCAGTCTCAAGCCTGCCAACTTGTCATGAGAACCATTCAGGAAGAATGTGAAGATGCGAGACGTTAGGGTGGGTTCTGCCATATGGTGGCAGCCGGTGGTAATATCCAGGTGGGCTAACTGGTGGTTTATGCGAGTATTACTAGATAGGTCTTGTGACAATTTTTTACAATTTAATTTTGTGGTCAGTCTGGGCTACACTGAGTTTTTCTTCAGGTCCTTTCTACCACCAGTACAATCCTTCAGAGATATTTGAAAAGATTTCAACTCTCGTGATCCACTCCTTGGAATCAAACTGGATCTTGCCTTTCAAAACATCTTTAGTTTTCCTAATACAAATTTTCAAATTTCCCCCCAAAAATTATGCAAATATGTCATGTTTATTGCTATTATAAAATCAATAAATGAACTTAGAGAAAAAAAAACTATCAACAAAATTGAGAGACATGTACTCCACATATACGGTGTAAGTTTCATGTAAATTGAATAAAAAATGAAAAAGTTATTTGAACATTTATGTTACTTCAAAATAAATACAAAAATAATAAAGTCTAAGGTGCTGCCATCTGTGGCTGAGGTTGACATCAACCAGTTTTCTCCAAAATTGGCACCCTTACAGATAGGCTTATGTGCAGTCAGGTGTACAAGTTTCATGCAAATTGTTCGATAAAAAAAAACAAAAAAAAAAACAAAAATTGTTGAAAAAAAAAACTAATTATTTTTTTTAATTTAAATTTGTTTTCTAATAAAACTAATTATAATATTTTTTTAATATTTTTTATTGTGATAGCTGAGAGTCATAGATATGATTTCAGTTGACACTTGTGCTTGATAATTGTTTTTGACCATTTTGGAATAATTTTGACACCTACTTCAATATTTTTTTTCGCCCTTCCTATTTATGCTACGATGCTGAGACTTGGGCCAGATGTAACTCTTTTCATGTACAACTCGTCAAAAACGTTTGATTGAAATCGAACCAGTTTTCATTTAATTCATTTCTGGGGAAATCGGAATCTAATGCCCCCCTTTAGGAAGCATCCAAGTGGAGTAGCTTAGAAACTGTGTTAACATTGCCTAAGATGTCACTATGACTTTTGTTCTGTACATCATGGCAAACCTGATATGTAATCATATTTGTTGTAATCACAAAGCAGTAGAATTGAGGAGCACCAAGGAGAGATTCAAATCCTGTGGTGCAGTAGTCAGCACAGTCCAATCACAGTCAAAAGGTTCCAGGTTCAATTCCTGCAGCAGGACAGAAATGTTTGGGCAGTTTAACCTTTCAACTGACGCAGTCTCCGTGGCGTAGTGGTAAGACACTCGCCTGGCGTTCCGCGAACGCTTTGTCCTGGGTTCGTATCCTGGCCAGGGAGGATTTACTGGGAGCAAATCCTTAACTGTAGTCTCTGTTTAACTCAACAGTAGAATGGGTACTTGGTTGTAAAAACGATTCTTCGCGGGATCGTATTCCAGGAAACATAGGATTAAGGACTTGCCCGGAACACTACGCATACTAGTGGTTGTACAAGAATGTAACAACTCTTGTATATATAAATAAATAAATAAATAAATAAATAAATAAATAAATAATTAAATATCGCTGTTCACCTACCAGTAAATACGTAGCCAGGAGTTAGGCAACTGTTGTGTGTTGCATCCTAGGAAAGGTTAGTAATTGTCCTAAGGAGACATCACTGAGTCTAACAGGCTTCCTGTCCTCTACTGTACAAAACTAAACAAGACTTTATCAACCTTAATTTATTGTCCGTCAAGTTGCAGGATCGTTACTAGGAATATCTAATGTGTTGTTTTGTGTGTCCCATATGGTATATATTTAAAGAGACCACTGGGGTGCACTGTACATAAATAGCTGGCAAACTTTATAGAATAAAAGTTGAAAAATAACAAGGAGAAAGGATTTATGTATTATATTAATAAAGTTAAAGGAAGGAGAGAGTTGCCCATTCCAGTACAGGATGGGAGAAACAAGATAACCAAGTAGGCAAAAGGAATTTACATATATGTTTTATACCTACAATATAAACAATATTGCAATTTGTAATATTGTACAATGCACCCTTCTGTGATAATTGTTTATAAATATCACAAGAGATTAAATATTACCTGCTTATTTACAGCATCTATTTCCTGCTGGCCCATTGCTGGTTGTGCTGCTACTCGCTGCAATGTTGACACCTGCCTTTCCTTAGTTGTCAGCTCCTTGGGTAACTTTTCCTTGACAATATAACTGTTCACATTCACATCTTCCTCTAGCCTCTGTAAAAGCCTGTTACGAACAATATATAATTAAATTTGTGAAGAGTTTGTCACATTGAATATTGATACAATAGTCAAGTTGCACCTCAACTTCCCTATTGTATCCAAGCATGGAAACCTCATCTTCAAAAGAACATACCAGTAATTGATCAGGAAAGGGTTCAGCGCAGAGCAACCAAAAACACAGCATTGAATGTAATGAAAGATCTTTCTGGTAGAGCCTCAGTGGCTCCCTGAAGTTATCTCACTGAGATTTCTTCATACTAATTAGCCAATTCATTCATAAGAGTTCTTGTTTAGCTTTTTAAGGAACCAAAGCCAGAATCTGCCCCCCTCCCCCGCTCACAGATCCTCACGGAGAAAGTGACAGTCTGCCACTTCACCATCTAGACATCTTCACCATCAAAGCATCTAGAAAGTCAGCAAAGCATTTATGACAACTGGAGGGTTTACAAAATATGAAACCTCAAATAGCTAAACAACTTCACAAAACAATCACACAAAATAATAGAATCACTCAAATTACCCTCATGAATAAATGATTACATTGAGTATAATATGTATTTACCTAAATTATATGATCAGAATATGTAATGAACAGATACAAATCTATTAACAGAATAAAATAAATGGCAACCTTTATGAATTCGTTAGTACCAATACCAATAGTTGCCACCAGACAGCCCAACCTCACCAACAGCCAGCTCTCAAGATGAGTTCACAAGATGATGAACAACTCCCCAATCAACCAACAAACTTGAAAGGGAGGAAGGGAGGCAGGTAGCCACTAGAGCTCTACCAGAAAGAACCATTTCATTACATTTCCAGTCTCCGTGGTGTAATGGTAAGACACTCGCCTGGCGTTCTGCGAGCGCTTTGTCATGGGTTCGTATCCTGGCCGGGGAGGATTTACTGGGCGCAAATCCTTAACTGTAGCCTCTGTTTAACTCGACAGTAAAATGAGTACTTGTTGTAAAAATGATTCTTCGCGGCGAGGATTGTATTCCATGGACCTGCACGAAACGCTACACATACTAGTGGCTGTACAAGAATGTAACAATTCTTGTATATATCTCAAAAAAAATTTAATGGTGGGCTTCTTGGGAAGCCCACTGGAGGCTCCCCAAGAAGCTTCAGGGAGCCTCAGGGAGCCCCCATTGGGCTCCCTGAAGCTAACTGTGGAAAAGACAAGAAGGTACATACTAGGGAAGAGGACAAGCAGCAAGCACTAAGACAAAGGAGAAAAAACAGGCCAGGACTCATGGCCAAAAGCAACACAAAACTGATTGGGACCAGGAACTTTAACCAAATATTGAGCTGTTATAACCCATGTGCAACCCTAAAAACCCAAAAGCCTGAATATCATCCCAGGATTTATTGGAAAAACTGTCAGCACGGCGGTGTACTTATTAACAACATGGCATAGAGGGTACAACACAAGCTAGATACGATGCTCTTATCTCTTCCACTCAGTTGGTTGTGGCCCCTTCGGTTCCGGGTTGTTTCTTGGAGGTTTCTACTCCTTTGAGTTCTGGTGTTGGGTTTGTTTGTTGTAGCCGTTCTTCTTTTCTGGCGAGGTGTGGTCGGCTATTTGTCCTGGGTGCATCTTCTTGTGTCCTGTTGTGGCTCTAGGCCATTGCCTGCATGCAGTAGCCTCTGTGGCCTTGGACGTGCTTTGAGTTGGCCGGGGTTCCCTTCATCCCTGTTCTGGGGTTCGGGTCTCCTAGGTCGTCCGCGGGGTCCTAGTGGTGTTGCCTGTTGTCTTGCTTTCGGGTTTTAGGTGCGGGGTTTCCACCTCCCAGGTTTGTCCCTCTTTTGTCCTTGGCTTTGGGTAGGTAGCTCTGGGGAGCCGAAGGGTCTCCCCCCAGAAAACCTGTGTTGAATGTGATGAAACCGTCATTTGGTGAGAATTGGAGGCTCCCCGGCAACCCTCCCTCCCTCCCCCCCCCCCGGCCAACGGGTTTGTCATGTGTTTTGATATCCAGCCTCGAACTGACAGGTGGATAGCCGGAGCGATGGGTCAGGGGCTCCTCCTTCCCTCCCGGGGAGGGGGGAGCTGCGCAGACAAGCGACGCGGTAAATGTAATGTCATGCTTGTTTGCTCGTTTTTCAATTAGGGAGTTCTGTTTACTTGTTAGTTTTCTGTAGTAGTTTTAACCAGATTAGGGGGTTTGTTTTGGGGCGCCTACCTTTCTGGGTGCCCGGCCCGGTCAATGGCAGACATAGAATGCTCCACACACAAAAAGGGAACATGTTCCTGAAAATTGTATATACCAACATAGATGGAGCGAGGTCAAAAACTTTGGAGTTGCAAGATATAATCCAGCTTAGGGTCCCAGATATTGCTGCATTATCAGAGACGAAACTTGAAGGAAATATAATAAATGAAGTCATATTCCCAAGAGGCTACTCAGTTTGGAGACGTGACAGGAAAACTAGGAAGGGAGGAGGAGTGGCTGTACTGGTGAAAAAACACCTGAAGGTAAAAGAGTTAATATTTGAAAACCCTCGAGATATTGACATAATGGCATTGCAGGTCTGGAATCAGGATGATAAGCTGATAATTGTAAATACCTACAGCCCACCAGCAAGCAACACATGGACAAAGGAAGAACTGGATGACAAACGAGAGGGCCTCATAATGGTCATGAGAGATATTATTGTACAAGCAGATAAAGATAAATCACGACTGTTGATACTGGGGGACTTCAACTTTAGAGCAATAGACTGGGAGGCCTATGAAGCAAGAACGGAGGACTTTTGGACATGCAGATTTGTGAACCTCATTCTGGAGACATTCTTGTATCAACACATAAAGCAAGCCACAAGAATGAGGGAAGGAGATGTACCGTCAGTACTGGATCTAGTATTCACCAGGAAAAAAGAAGAGATTTTGACATCCAGTACCTTCCTCCCTTGGGAAAGAGTGATCACGTCCTGTAAGACATTAAATATGCTTTAAGATATCATCTAAAAGAAAATGGGGACATTGAAACAGTTGATAAACTCGATTTAAGGAGAGGCAACTATGGGGAACTTCGAAATTTTTTTAATGAGTGTAATTGGACAGAATTGTTGCTAGGCAGGGAAGTAAATGAAATGTATGCCAAATTTTTAAAACTATACGAGGAAGGCACACAAACATTCATACCAAAACAGAGATGCAGGGCCAGAAAACAGGATTGGTTCGACAGAAATTGTGAGAGGGCAAGAGACCAAAAGACACAAAAATGGAATCAGTATAGGAAGAGGCCAAACCCCCAAACATACCAGCGATACAAAGATGCGAGAAACAACTATACAGCAGTAAGGAGAGAGGCAGAAAGAAATTTTGAAAAAGGGATAGCAGATAAATGTAAAACAGAACCGGGCCTATTCTACAAATTCATAAACAACAAATTGCAGGTAAAGGATAATATCCAGAGGTTGAAAATGGGAAACAGATTCACGGAAAATGAAAAGGAAATGTGTGAAACATTAAATGAAAAGTTCCAAAGTGTGTTTGTACAAAATGAAATCTTCAGAGAACCAGACACAATAAGAATTCCAGAGAACAACATAGAACGGATAGAGGTGTCTAGAGATGAAGTGGAAAATATGCTAAAGGAGCTCGGGAAGAACAAAGCAGCTGGCCCAGATGGCGTTTCACCATGGGTTCTGAGAGAATGTGCATCTGAGCTCAGCATTCCACTTCACCTGATCTTTCAGGCATCCCTGTGTACAGGAATCGTAGCAGACGTGTGGAAACAGGCTAACATAGTTCCAATCTACAAAAGTGGCAGCAGGGAAGACCCCCTCAATTATAGACCTGTATCATTGACAAGTGTAATAGTGAAAGTATTGGAAAAGCTAATCAAAACTAAATGGGTAGAACACCTGGAGAGAAATGATATAATATCAGACAGACAGTATGGTTTTCGATCTGGAAGATCCTGTGTATCGAATTTACTCAGTTTCTATGATCGAGCCACAGAGATATTACAGGAAAGAGATGGTTGGGTTGACTGCATCTATCTGGACCTAAAAAAGGCTTTCGACAGAGTTCCACATAAGAGGTTGTTCTGGAAACTGGAAAATATTGGAGGGGTGACAGGTAAGCTTCTATCATGGATGAAAAATTTTCTGACTGATAGAAAAATGAGGGCAGTAATCAGAGGCAATGTATCGGAATGGAGAAATGTCACAAGTGGAGTACCACAGGGTTCAGTTCTTGCACCAGTGATGTTTATTGTGTACATAAATGATCTACCAGTTGGTATACAGAATTATATGAACATGTTTGCTGATGATGCTAAGATAATAGGAAGGATAAGAAATTTAGATGATTGTCATGCCCTTCAAGAAGACCTGGACAAAATAAGTATATGGAGCACCACCTGGCAAATGGAATTTAATGTTAATAAATGTCATGTTATGGAATGTGGAATAGGAGAACATAGACCCCATACAACCTATATATTATGTGAGAAATCTTTAAAGAATTCTGATAAAGAGAGATCTAGGGGTGGTTCTAGATAGAAAACTATCACCTGAGGACCACATAAAGAATATTGTGCAAGGAGCCTATGCGATGCTTTCTAACTTCAGAATTGCATTTAAATACATGGATGGCGATATACTAAAGAAATTGTTCATGACTTTTGTTAGGCCAAAGCTAGAATATGCAGCTGTTGTGTGGTGCCCATATCTTAAGAAGCACATCAACAAACTGGAAAAGGTGCAAAGACATGCTACGAAGTGGCTCCCAGAACTGAAGGGCAAGAGCTACGAGGAGAGGTTGGAAGCATTAAACAAGCCAAAACTAGAAAACAGAAGAAAAAGAGGTGATATGATCACTACATACAAAATAGCAACAGGAATTGATAAAATCGACAGGGAAGATTTCCTGAGACCTGGAACTTCAAGAACAAGAGGTCATAGATTTAAACTAGCTAAACACAGATGCCGAAGAAATATAAGAAAATTCACCTTCGCAAACAGAGTGGTAGACGGTTGGAACAAGTTAAGTGA